TAGTTAATGTGATTTGTAGCTTCAGACTTAGTCCACATTCCCCCTGTAGATATATCTTGGTACTCCGCCCCCCATCCCGAGAGGGAGGCATCAGTAGTGATTTTGTGTTGTGGCTCCTCATGTGTCAATTTTTGAAAGGAGTTTTCCACATGACACTCCCACCAGTGCAATTCCGTTTTTGCACCCTGTGATAGTGCCATTGTCGCATCAAAATCCCCTTTTTGCTTCTTTTAGGGCCTGCGTTTTATCTTTATCCAACTCCCTGTAGTACAAGAGTCCGTACATAACCCCCGGGAAGCTTGCCACTATTTTACCAATAATTCTCGCAACCTCTCGTATTGTTTGTGGTTTGGAGGCCGTCCTTAAAGCTTTACAAGCCTTTTTTAAATCAATAGCTTTATCGCTAGTCAACCGTATGGTCATGGACAATGAGTTGATAAGAAATCCCAGAGTGATAATTTGCTGCGAGGGTTTAAGAATTGATTTAATGGGGTGTATCACAAACCCTAAATTGTCAAGCAACATGAATGTATCAAGGACATTGACAACACATTTGTCATAAGTCTGACCTTGTAGGTAACAATCATCAATATGTGCCACAGAAATGTGGCCCATAGAGTGTAAAGTTGCTAATGCAGGTTTCAATATTTTTGTAAATACCCTAGGTGCACATGAAAGGCCATTGGGCAAACATGTAAACTGGTAAATTTCTTTTTTCCAGATGAAACGTAAATATTTTCGGTCTGATGCTTTGATGGGTATTGAGTAATATGCATCCTTTAAATCCAAAGATGCCATAAAGCAGTCCTTTGTAACTAGTTTAGTTATATCATAAATAGAATCCATCTTAAAATGATGATATACTACTGTTTCGTTAAACTTTTTCAAATTTAGAATGAGACGGTGTGACCCATCAGGTTTTGGTCTCAAAAATATGCTAGAAATAAATTGTGTTGTTTCAGGTTGTACTTTGTTTACTACCCCTTTACCAACTAACTTTGATATTTCTGCATCAAGTATTTGGTATTCATGTGGGTGAAACTTTTGACCTGGTAGGTTAAGTTGCACAGGTGTCTCAGTGCATTCAATTACAACACCTGTTATATTTGATAAAATTTCGCTGTCCTGAGTTATTTTAGTCCAGGCTGTAAAATGCTCAGCCACTCGACCAGCCTTAAAGCTAGTGCATAAATTCTGTAAATATGTCAGAATAACAGGTATATATTTTTCAAATTCACTTACCGAGTTTCGGATTTGTTTGAGAAGTTCTGTCACTTGTTCTCTCGTCCCCCCCCCCCCTCCAGGGTTTTTTCTTTTGATTGTTCTTGCGCTGGCCCTGCCAAAAATCCTGCTTATTTTTCAAGGCAGGTTTTTTGTTTGCAGAGTAATTGTACTGCTTGGGGGGATAACTTTTCATAGAAGAACTGAGGGAACTAGCCTCTTTGGCATCCTTTAAATTTTTTGCCAAATCATTTCCAAACAGCAGTGTTATGAATATGTAATTAATTTATTCTAAAACGCGCGAAAATTATACGGGCAATAACAACACAAAATAATCGCGACAAAAATATCGCTTAAACTAATAATCTACGTTACACTCCCGGGGGTTGATCTCCATCAGGTGATCAAAAGTCCAACAAAATTTGAATGTAATTATGTTAAAATTAAAGAGTCCTTGCTCATATTACTTATAACTGTTCGTACGAATATTAATACTTATCTTAATCTAACTTCTAGTTCAAGTGTTTAACTCGTGTCCGCGCATCGAACCTCTAAAGGTATGAGATGCTGAATAGGTCTCTGTAATATAGTAGTTTTCCCATGTCCTGGGGCAGTAAGAACGGTAATCCTCGCTGCTCGAACTACTCCATCTTTGCCTTCAAGTATCTCGGTAATTTTAGCAAATTTCCAATAACGAGCCGTAGAATCGTCCTTTAAAATCACCACTTCGCCGACTGATATATCACTTGAATTTCTTCCGACACTTGAATTCTTTCTTGCACTTTCGCGTAATCCCAAAGATACTCTCTACGCCATTGTCGGGTAAAGTTTTGCAGCAATCTGTAATGGTACTTTATTCTCCGCGTCAAGGTTTGGTATGTACTGGACACATTCGAATACCGTTGATTCGGTGTCGTTGCTATATGCCGTCCGTACAACATGTCCGCCGGTGTAAGAGGATAAGATAGACCTTCGTCATCTGCGTACACATAGGTCATGGGCCTGTTATTCAAGGTGCACTCGATTTCAACCATTAACGTGCGTAATTCTTCAAAGTTCAACGAAGATCGTCCTACAGACTTCTTTAAGCATGACTTGACGCTTCGCACTAAACGCTCCCAATATCCACCCCACCATGGGGCTTTCTCAACGATAAAATCCCAAACTACTTGCTTGTTTGCCAGATCAGTCTTGACTTCGGCCGCTTGCATAATCTTCCTGATATTTACCGACGACGCTTTAAAGGTTTTTTCATTGTCTGATTGTAGCTTCGCTGGTAATCCACGACGGGCTGTGAAGCGCCTAAACGCCTGTAGAAATGATAATGCACTCAAGTCTCTAGTAAGTTCTAGATGGATAGCACGCGTTGATGCACAAGTAAACAAGCAACAGTAACATTTGACATTAGTTTTCGAATCGCACGTAACATAGAGTGGACCAGCGTAGTCCACTCCCGTGTTTGTAAACGGTGGACTGTCACCAACACGATTGGTGGGAAGATCGGGCATTGGTGGCGTGGGAAACGACTTCCCCTCGTGTCTTTTACATACAACACATCTTCTAGTAACCCGTTTTACGGCCTCTCTGCCTTTCAGTATCCAGTATTGTTGTCGAATGGAGTTCAATGTATCACGAATGCCTTGATGATGGATATCTTCATGTCGTTCACGAATTAAAAGTTCCGTAAATCTATGCCGTGACGGCAGTATAATAGGGTTCTTGCTAGATTCTGGAACGTCGGCGTTATGCAACCGTCCTTTGCAACAAATTAATCCATTGGTATCAAGCTGTAGTTCAAACTGGTGTAAGCAAGCCGTACCGCCTTTCATTAATGCATTTTGTTCCGTTTTGAAAGAGCAGGCTTGCACAGACTTAATCCAATCAATTTCTGCCGTCCTCAATTCGTCCCCGGTTAAATGCTTTGTAGGAACATTCGCCTTTCGTTTCAGTAATTTCACGAATCTCATCACAATTGCAGTCACTCGGAGCAACATAATCTTGGTACTGTATCTTTCGATGTCGATAATATTTTCTAAGTTGGCAACACGAGATACATTCTTCGAAACACAAGGAAGTGAGCTGGTAACAACAGGTGGATGTTTTAGCAACTCCTTGTCCGCCAGCTCATTGGTATTTGTCGTTGCTGACTTTGGCCACGATTCGGGATTCTCCTTCAAAAATTCTGGGCCGTTCCACCATGATTTGTTGTTCACTAGTTCCTTTACGGCACACCCTCGCGATGGAATGTCAGCCGGGTTCAACTCTCCTGGACAAAATCTCCACTTCTCCTTCGCCGATAACCGTCTGATCTCGTTGACCCGATGTTGTACATACTGACGCCACGGTTTGTTGTTCTTAATCCAGCACAGAGTAGTGAATGAATCCACCCAATAATACACATCGAATTTGAATGCAAGGGACTCTAGAACAGAACGAATAGAGAAAACCAACTTTGCCAACAGGTAAGCTCCCAAGAGTTCCAATCTAGGAATAGATTGTTTTTTCAGTGGTGCCACTCTTGTTTTAGACGCGATAAGACGCACATCGATTGTTCCGTTTGCATACTTGGACAACAAGTACACCACAGCTGCTACTGCTTTCTCTGATGCATCACTGAATCCATGGATATCATGACTGAGAAGTTCTCCTGTACCTTCTGAATTGTTTTGGAAATAACATCGCGGAACACTTATCTCGGATAGTGCACTGACTTCGCCCACCAGGGAAGTCCACCTTTTCAACCATTTTTTCTCAAGGGCCTCGTCCCATTCAACCTTGCTGGAACACAGCTCCTGGAACCACATCTTTAGATTCACCGTTATTGGGCTGATCAGTCCGATAGGATCAAATATTTTCGCGGACGCTTTCAATATCGATCTTTTTGTAGGTGGCAATGACTTCAGATATTCTATAAGTTGTGCAACATCAAAACTGAAACAGTCCCTTTCGGTATTCCAGTTAAGACCAAGAATTTTCACTTCTGATGATTTCTCTTGCAATTTCTCAGCTGCTCTAAGTTCAGGCGATGTGTCCGCTAATAGATTGATCTTCGACAGTTCACCTTCCGATGATTTGTGTTCTGACGTTTCTTGATTAACATTCTGTTGATTCGTGGCAACCGTATTCTCAAACTTATCAATTCGTTCCTTCAAAACTTTCGAATTAGTGCGCCATTTGCGCAGGTTGAATCCGCCTTCGCTCATAATACGTTTAGCTTTCTCGTAAACGCCAAAAGCTGCTTCTTCATGTGTAGCTCCTCCTGGGAAATCATCCACGTACAACGAACTAGCTAGGAGCTTCGAGACCTCAGGCTCGGAGGAGGCATACAATGATAAATGATGTTGAATTGTTCCATTGAGGATCGCAGGGCTAGAAGTCAAGCCAAAAACTAATCGACGGAAACGATACTGGACCATTTTTGGGGTCTCATCTTCGATATTTTCCCACCAAAGAAATCTTAGCTTATCTCGGTCTGACGTACTCACGGATATTTGATGGAATGCCTTTTCCACGTCAGCAGTGAGGGCTACTGGATGGCTTCGAAATCTAATCAGAACATCGAAAAGATGCGGAGTTAAATTGGGCCCTGTCTCGAGACAGTTGTTGATAGAATGTTCACTATCAGTGTCCTTCGCTGATCCATCAAATACGATGCGTAACTTCGTTGTGGCTTTGTCTGATCTCACAACTCCGTGATGAGGCAAGAAGTGAACATCTTTGTTATTCTCTTCGTCAGCTGGGACTCTTTCAATGATACCTGTCCTCTCCTGTTCCTTGAAAATATCGTCATACTGGTCTAATAGACCTTCCTTACTTAAACGGGAGTTCAGATGATGCAATCGAGATACACATAGTCCAAAATTAGAATTTTGCAAAGTCTGTTCCTCCTTCCAGGGAAGATCAACTTGATATTTTCCTTCGGTCTTGTCAAATGCAATGTCCTTCAAGAATTCCTTTCTTTGGTGGTCAGATTCAGTGTAATCAACTATGCCAATGGACTCACTGTCCCAAAAACGTGCCAAACTATCAGTTAAATTGGATGGTTGCTCATAATTTAATATGGAATAGCTTGGTTGTTGGAGTATCAGGTTGGATGTTACATGGTTATCCCCATTCTTGGTATTTTGTACTGGGCCCGAAACCAACCAACCAAACTTGCTGCTGACTGCTGCCAGTCCATTACTCTCTCGAATGACATGTCCGGTTATAACATCCCAATAGTAGTCCGATCCTATTAAAACATCAATGTCATCATTACTATTTGATGAAGCTGTGTTATAGTCGGCAAGATCCAGCTCTAAAAACGAAGGATAGCTTTCTAGGTTTACTGTTCCAGGTAGTGGCGAACATATGTTACCAAAACTCAGGGCTGCGATCTTTATATCTTGGCCATTTTTTCCTTGTAGCGTTAATTGGACCAAATCACAGTCTTTCTTCGAGAAACCGGCATCACCAAAGGTATTAAGATTTAATGATTCTTTCTTGATGGGTTTCAAACCAAGCTTTTGCTGTAGACCAGTTGTGACGTACGATCTTTGACTTCCAGTATCAATGAGCACTCTGACAGGTAAGACTTCTGAACCTTCATTGGAATATGCATATGTCCTTGCTGTCTGTAACAATACTCTCGTTTGACTTCTTGTCACAGATGTAGTGGTTGTACCATTTGACGATTCATTGACAACAGCTCCAGTCGTGGAAGCTTGCCCAGGTTTGTTCTCTGGTGGTTGACTCGATGGGTCCTGTGGTGGTCGACTCGAATTAAATTCACAGATTGACTGATGATGCTTTCCTGGGCATTTGCGGCATCGTCTATTGGAGGTGCATTGGTTTATTCGATGACCCTTTCTCAAACATAAAAAGCAACGTCCTTGTCTCTTCAAAATATTCTTTCGGGCTTGTGGATCTTTAATCTTCTCACACGAGGCGGAAAAGTGTTCTGCATCACAAAACACACAACGTATATTGCTCCCATTTTGATCTCCTGCGAAAAATGCACCCGTTGTGTGCATTCTCTGTCTTGGCTGAGTACTTGGATCCCTTATCTTCAGATTACTACTCATCTCTCTTGCTTGCACTTCACTCTTCAATACATTCAATACTCCTTCGATTTGCCAAACATCTTTCGTTGTAACTCGAGCGATCTGAAGACGAACATCTGGTGGTAATTTAGACATAATGATGGGTATGAGAAAGCTCTCGTATTTATCAGATGTCACTCCCAAAGACTCCAGACCACGAACATTGACCCCAACCTTATCACATATCAGACGAAGCTCAGCAGGTTTGTTTCCTAAACATGTAGGCAGTTGCAAAAGTTCATCCATATGCATTGATATTATATGCTGTGTATTCCCGAAACGTTCTTCAAGAAGATTCAATGCAACATTATAATTTGCCTCAGTTAAAGGCAATCCTTGAATAACTCTAGCAGCTGGACCTTCCAAAAGTCCTTGCAAATAATTAAAGTTATCGATTGGTGAAATGTTTGGGTTCTTATTAACTGAACTGTCAAAACGATCCCAAAATGTTCTAAATTTTGTAATTTCGCCATTAAATTTTTGTAGAACCAACTTTGGTAGCTTTGGGGTCACAGTAAAACTGGATGGGTATGATGGTGCCCCCTCTACTGGCTCTACAGAAATACTTGTGGGGTGTTCTTCAGTAGGTAAAGGCACATTCTGCTCGGAAATACTTTCTTGCTGTTCAGCCATGTCCGTATTTTGTGTAGGGGGTGCATTTATATTGCCTGACAACGAGGGCTGTGACGTAAATGTGTTCAAACACTCAATCATACCTCTTATTTCTAAAATTCTCGTTCGTATTGCGTCAGCATCCTCTATTTCTTTCTCAATTTCTTCAACCTTACACAACGACAACATTTCATCGTCCATACCTCGTAATAATTTCTCTTTCTCCTCAAGTAAGTTGTCTAAAATCTTCAAACGTGAACGATTCAACGTGGTTATCTCGGGGTTTTCAACAATCGACTTCGCTTCTTGTATAAATTTTGTTGTAACTCCACGATGCCCCCTTCTTTTTGCCTTTAAACGATCAATATCTGTCTCACTCATGGTAACGAATACTTCAAAATTCAAACGACAATCAAATTCAAACGAAAACGATGTTTAAACGACGAAAATACGGCCCCACGTTGGGCGCCATGTTATGAATATGTAATTAATTTATTCTAAAACGCGCGAAAATTATACTGGCAATAACAACACAAAATAATCGCGACAAAAATATCGCTTAAACTAATAATCTACGTTACAGGGTGTGGGAAAAGTATCATATTACATGCTTCCACTTCCAAAAGGCCCACACAGACCGGACGCGATTCGGCAACGCGACGCGAATTTTCAGTTTTCAAAAACAAATAAAAGCGTCAACGGATAAAAATTTTACAAGATATGCAGACCAACTATCTAAAATTGCCATTGAAAACTGGAAATTCGCGTCGCGTTGCCAAATCGCGTCCGGTCTGTATGGGCCATTAAGTGGCAGTCCCGCTAAAGCCTAGTTTCCATTTGGTCGTTAGTTGTCGCTGGCACGACAAGTGGCTGATGTGAAATAGTCTAATATAATAATAGTCTTTTGTGTATTATATGCAAATCAGTCTTAATGATTGCAGAGTTTTATAAAGTTTTGTTGACACTCTATTACATCAGCCACTTGTCGTGCCAGCGACAACTAACGACCAAATGGAAACTAGGCTTAAGAGCGGTCCGGTGACTTCGACTTTGGAAAATAGATTTCCTTCAATTTTTGTGTGTTGAAAGGCATTGGTATACAAGTGTCCAATATAAATTTATTTTTCGAAAATTATTTTTTACGGCTTAGCTAGACGCCGAAACTCATTTCACCCGTGCAGAGCTATTTTCAAGCAAATTCGAAGGTTGAATTTTGGTAAATTTTAGAGTCGCGCTGAGTCAAAACGCCTGACTGTTTCCAAGTTTCAACTAGATCAACAAGTTAAGACACAATTCACGTTCCCTGTTGCAAAAAAAGAAGAGGATTTGAATAAATCGTGAATCAACGACAGCAACTTGACGGCACACCGGTTTTTACTTCTTGTTCTGTCTACAAAATTACACGAAAATCGAAGGCTGAGATCTCCTAAAGGGGACCTAAAAATACGCTGAAAACTACTTGACTGTAATGATATATACTTATTTTCACAGGATCTGAAGAAAAACTTGCGGGTATCAATCTGTGATTGGCGCGACAAAGATTTCCTAGAGCCCATGTTCAATGATTTTTGCATAATTTATAGCTAATTAACATCTTTCTTGAGAGGTGCTAAAAGTAAACAATTTCTTTCTGACTATATATTTTTTCGATGAAAGAAACTACCAATTAAGTACTTAGTAAAACTCTTTTTGTAAATATAGTCGTAATATTCTTTTCTTGACACGCTTAAAGAACTTTGTTTTTTAATGTTCTACCACATTCATTCAGTCTGACCACATTCATTATTATAAATATCACGCACTTGTATATTTCGGCAAATATTCGATATGATATGTTCTTTTTTACATATCGACTAACTCATCTGTATTTAATAACCAATTACACTTGAAGTACTAGATATTCAACTTGTATAAGTTTATGATACACCTGGAAATAAATAACGTTATGCCAATGAAAAGTGGTGAATCGCAACGTATTAGCCAATCGTGTCACCGTTCGTGACTTCGATATAGAGTCAGTGGCTATCAAACTTTAAAATCCTCATGGCTCCCGCCTTCTTGCAAAATACTTCGATTCAGAATACGACAAAGTGCACGCGATCTTGACAAGTTTAAAATATATCGCTTCAGAATACGACCAAGTCCGCGCGATGTAGAGACAATTGACATGCATATGTATATGAACAAACTACGGCGAAATGTCTTGCTTCGTGTTGTTCAAGGATGAAGCTGGATGTGGGGAATTTATGGGTCAAATTGAATAATGGAACGTCGTAGTAACTGCAATCAAGATGTCTCAGCTCATCTGAGGCGGTATCATTTGTCCCGGTGCGATTTTATTTTGCTGCGGGTTGAGTTTCTGAATGTGCATGGCGACTTCGTGATCACAAATGCTTGTGTACTCGAGACATTGAGGCAATCTTGGAGTTTACTGAAGCTTGAGGAATGATTCATTATATGCCATATATGAACATAAAGGCACACAAGAAAGAGCCAAATGTGCATGACCGAGCATTCACATTGAAACTCTTTTATAAGGAAATATATAAACTTATATTGTGCTGATTGGGTCACGTGAGTGTATTTCTGGCGCGGACCATTAGAACAGCGATGGGGGGGGACTTTTTTAACTTGTACGGATATTTTTTAAAATTTTTTGTTTGTGTCGTCATTTTTCTTTTTAATATAATTCCTTGCACGATTTTTTTATATTTCAACTTTTATTGTAATTTAAAACCAGTTCTCCGGAACGTAAACATAATAGTGGTTGAAATAAAAAATTTCGAGAAATGATATTATATTAGTTACATATTTTAGTCATTATTTTATTTATTACATTATTACATTTTATTTATTACATTAGTTATTATTAGTTACATGGAAAACCTAAAACGGTTAATGGAAAATATAATTAACAGTTGGTCAGTTCATTTTTATGGGCTTCATGAACTGATCAACATTTTTCGGAGCACTTTAAGATTTCAATTAGCAATGTAGCAGAGAACTGGAGAATTAAAGCAGGAACATATAAATTCTGGCTTATAATTTTTCCTATTGAAAAGTCTCTGCACGAATTTTTTCACGATTTTTTCCCCTGCGTTATTTTTTTGGTAATTCCTAAATAGTATACTTCAAAATAAGGTTTCCGCTTTATATCAATTTTTAAAATAAGTTAGGGATAATTAGGTTAGGGTTAGGTTAGGGTTAGGGTTGGAGTTAGGGTTGGGGTTAGTGTTAGGGTTAGGGTTTAGTTTTGCGTTAGGATAGTTTTTTCTACGTGCAAAAAACGGAAACCTTATTTAAGAATTAGAAAACGAGTCGCGTGTGTTAATGGTGTGATAATGCACGCGGGGAATGTGGGAGAATACGAGAGGAGCGTGTAAAACACGAGACGAAGCCGAGTGTTTTACACGCTTCTCGAGTATTCTCCGAAAATTCCCCAAGTGCATTATCACACCATAAACGCACGAGACGAGTTTTTCTATTTCTTTTATAATATAAATAGAATATATTACATAGTAAACAATTTTACTCAAAAGATCGACGTTGAAATTCTCCTAACATGTATACTCAGTGATGCCACGTGCATGCTTTTACTGTCGCTTGAATTTTTAAGAGAGCGAAGGAGAAAAATTGCCAAAACAAGTGTACAAACTTTTGATGCTATAAAGCCGGACAAATTGTTTAAAATAGTGGAAATAAAAAAGCAGTGACACACAGACTAATTTGCCAAAGTTTTTCAGCATCTGGGCTGCTGGATTTGACATGAAAGGATGGTTCTCCAATACTGTCGCACTTAACGACCCGTGAAATTCGTAAGTCGTGATTCACGAGTCGTGTTTTTTATTTGTATATTACTATTAATAATTTAAGTTATATGTCATCCAATTATAACGATATAAAATTAAGAACTGCCTGTATATGGACTAATCCATACGAATTGTGAAAAAATATTATTTCACCTGAGGTGAAGAACTAACCCTCATGCACGAAATTCGTATGACCCGTTAAATTCGTGAAATTTCACCACTCATGTCCACTGGACACGAATGTTTTACGAGTGGTGGTCGGTCAAATGGTAAAACCTCACGAAATTCGTACGACTCGTTAAATTCGTGAGTTTTTACGACTCGTGTCCACTCGTGACGAAGGTTTCACAAATGGAGGATGACTTACAGTGAGTCCTTTGCACCTGGTTAAACCTCACGAAATTCGTACGACTCGTTAAATTCGTGAAATTTTACCACTCGTGTCCACTGGCCACAAATGTTTTACGAGCGGTGGTCGGTCAAATGGTAAACCCTCACGAAATTCGTACGACTCGTTAAATTCGTGAGTTTTTAGAAATTAATTTTGCACATTAAAGAGAGCACGCCACGTACTATGTAGTGGCTTTCCCTCCTGATCTATGTACTGTGCTTATCGATTTCAATTGACGTCAAACGTTTAACTTTTCATTTACCTAATGCAAATGAAGTGAAACAAAGAACTAATTCGCTCATTAGCATTAGGTTCGGCACATGAAAAGTTCGACGTTTGACCGCCTGGCCTGAGATTCATTCATTCATTCTCACTCCTTATATATTAAGCTATAATGCTTTTAGTGTAAGGGGCGGACCATAGAAAAGTGATGGGGGGGGGGGACTTTTCTTGCATGCACGATATTTTTTTCGACTGCTTTGGCGTTGCAGGAATTTTTTTTTGGCACCAAATTATTTGCACGAATTTTTTTTTCCATGAAACTAGAAGTTTTCTTAACAAAGCACAAGTAACGTATTGAATGAAGGAAAACACTCAAATAAAAATGTGAACATTTGTTATACAACTGAGTCTGAAATGTTGGCAATTTCTCGAAAAGTCTGATTCCGGCATCTATACTAAATTCCGGCATCTAACTAAATTCATGCATGCATGATGGCATTTTAGATTGATTGAGTTTTACTAATACAGGCAGCAAGAGATTTGTTGTTCGCGTATTAACAATTTGACAGTCGTGTGAATATCGGAATATGTGCCATAATAGGTAGAGCAACACTGATAATATACACATCTACATATGATGTAATACATTATACCTGAATATTCATCTTTTATTTCAGTAAATCTGTAGAAAACTATTATATATTTTAATACAGCCATGGAGTCAAAAGACAAAGATCTCTTATTTCCCTCAGACCTAGCCCCACCCATTCACCCAAAGCCAAACCCCAATACTAGACTTTTTATTAAAAACACATATTTTATACAAAATACGTTTTCAACTTCAAGTTCCAATCTATTTTACGAATTTACGATTTCAGTAGTATCTCTGTGCGAGTCAGTTTAATACCTGTGTCTGACTCTGATTAAAAGACATACATGATTACATGAAGCCGTCCAATTCTTAAATACCATTTCAAATGATGTAAAGCCAAAAGCACCGCAATTGAATTTGCGGCTACATGGCCCACCATTCTATAATCTTCTATAGACGTCTATAGAAGATATTAAACGGCCTACTTTTGTTGAAAGATGACTAACATCGCGGATTGCAAGTCCAGAATAAAATAAAGCTTGGCCCTGTTTTCCAACAATGAACAATCTCGCCAACAATGATTTAATTATATTTTTCATTGCGCTCTGCAGGAATTTTTTTTCCTCGAATTTGATCATGCAGGAATTTTTTTTAAAGTTAATTTGCCTTGCACGAATTTTTTTTTTTTTTCCCCCCCCCCCCGCCCATCACTTTTCTAATGGTCCGCCCCTAAGCATAAGGCAAACTAATGAACACACACATAACAAAAATAACAGTCTGCGCACAAATAACAGTCTGCGCGCAGGCTATAAATTAAAAGCGTTTCTTGCCGGTTTGTCTAATGAAGTATTAATATTATGTATAGGAGTTTTAAATACCACTGCCTCAATACAATGGTCAATGCGTTATATAATCCGTGCATGTGCATGCAGTTTAGTAACATATTCTAATATTTTGCGTTATTTAATAATATAACTACCGGTGGGTCCATACAGAGCGTCATTATACGAATGTACATGTATATATTTTATATGAACATGCATGATATATTTAATTAAGATGAAGATTCATATAATCAGTTATAATGACAATTATGGCCAATATTTTGGAAGCAACAAGTCAAGATATTATATTGATATATTACGTCATTTCGTAAGAACGAAGCAACAAGATATTGATATCATGATTGCGTCGTTTCTTAAGAACGAATTGAGCAACAACATATTATAAAGGTTGTGATGTTACTCTGAGTGTATATCCACACCGGGCAGGGATATTTTTCAAGCTTGCCCGGTGTGGAAATACACTCAGACTAGCATTACAAACATATCTAGTCATCTGAGTACACGGCAACAACACAGGGAAAACATGTTATAAAAGTTCAGATAGGCTATATTCAATATACAGCTAAAGTATTAGGCCTACTTTTGTCTTGAAGAAGGGGATTGAACATATATATTTGAGATGAAGATTCATAATTTGTGAGTTACTTGGGAATGAACATATAGCCTGTATTTGAGATGAAGATTCATAACTTGTAATGTCACAAGCGGCGTGAAATTTCCGCACTAGTTTAACGACATATAATATTGATATATGTCAACATATTATATTGTACGATGGCCGAGGAGGGCCACTTCTGACTTCCGAGTTCCGACTTCTGACTTCCGACTTCTGACTTCTGACTTCTGACTTCTGACTTCTGACTTCCGACTTCTGACTTCTGAGTTCCGACTTCTGACTTCTGACTTCCGACTTCTGACTTCTGACTTCTGAGTTCCGACTTCTGACTTCTGACTTCCGACTTCTGACTTCTGACTTCTGACTTCCGACTTCTGACTTCTGACTTCTGACTTCCGACTTCTGACTTCTGACTTCTGACTTCTGACTTCTGAGTTCCGACTTCTGACTTCTTATGCCTTTCCAGCTAAACACGGCAAATCCAAACCGATTGCTTCGATTCTGCATTAATTTTGCTGATAACGTCTAAATATATCATAATTTTCTTATCCAGAATTTCCGAATTCGTTATTTTATTTCATTTTTTCAATTTTATGTTGCCGTGTTTCCAACAGTATTATCATTCTTTGTTAGCAATACTTATTTTTGATATCGTATGTATTTTAGTAGAAAAAAAACGATGTATGTTCAACGGGATGTTCTTTATCAAATTTAGCCGTAGGGGACATTTAAAAATAAATTAAAATTTAATTTAACATTTACATCACTTTTTCCAAAACTTAGCTCAAGAACTTTACAAAATATCATCCAGAAAAAAACAATCACCAATATAATCATATGGATAAGAAATTTATATATTTTGGCGATAAAATTAACCTCACATATCTGAATTTATCAAATTGATATTGTCAATTGACAAAATTTTCATTATCCACCACAGTAGAAGCCCGCTTACCCCGCCATTTCAAACTTAAGTTAGTTGGCTAAGTTTCATGAGTCAAGCCTCAAAGGAAAAAATAATTAGTTCGAAAAAGCAACGAGTTCGAGTTATATGAGTTCAAAATAATGGAGTAAAAGAAGTCCGAACTCAGAAGTCGGAAGTCAGAAGTCGGAAGTCAGAAGTCAGAAGTCGGAAGTCAGAAGTCGGAAGTAAGAAGTCAGAAGTCGGAAGTCGGAACTCAGAAGTCGGAAGTCAGAAGTCGGAAGTCGGAAGTCAGAAGTCAGAAGTCAGAAGTCGGAAGTCAGAAGTCGGAACTCAGAAGTCGGAACTCGGAAGTCAGAAGTGGGGCTCCTCGGCCATGTGGCCCTCCTCGGCCATCGTATAGAAGTCAGCCTGTCGGAATTCGGGACTTTTGGAAAGTTCTTGAGCTAAATTTTAGAAATAAGGAATGTAAATGTTAAATTTTAGTTTTAATTATCCAATTTAATTGTTCCCTACAGCTAAATTTAAACCGTTGAGACAGTGAAATCGCAATGGTGTAAAGAATATCTCGTTGAACATAGTCTTTTTTATACTAAATTATCAAAAATAACGATATCAAAAATAAGTATTGCTAACAAAGAATGAAAATACTGTTGGAAACACGGCAACATAAAATTGAAAAATGAAATAAAATAATGAATTCGGAAATTCTGGATAAGAAAATTATGGTATATTTAGACGTTATAAGCAAAATTAATGCAGAATCGAAGCAATCGGTTGGGATCTGCCGTGTTTAGCTGGAAAGGCATAAGAAGTCAGAAGTCGAAACTCAGAACTCAGAAGTCGGAAGTCAGAAGTCAGAAGTCGGAACTCAGAAGTCAGAAGTCGGAAGTCAGAAGTCAGAAGTCGGAACTCAGAAGTCAGAAGTCGGAAGTCGGAAGTCAGAAGTGGCCCTCCTCGGCCATCGTAATATTGATATATTGCGTCGTTTCTTAAGAGTGATTGTCAGCAAAAATCGAACATTGGGCGGCAAGGGTTGACAAATCGATTCCGCTCATATTTTAACTATATATAGGCCCTAATGTAACAAACACCACTGTGTAGTTTGTTTGGTGAAATTCGGCTATTCGGGAAAATCGCAGAAAATACTTTCCGAATTAAATTCGCTAATTTTGAGCCGATAATTTAGGTTAACTTCAACAGCTTCTCGGGACAAAACAAAATAACCCAGCGCTGTAGTATTCTCACATGAAGTTAATTGCTATCTTAATATACAACAGGTAGAGTTTCAGACATTATCGTTCAGGTTTTTTATTTGAGAGAGGAAGCCTCTCTCAAAATAGGTTCAAAGTAAACTAATTGTTTTCCATGTGCGACGAAATTTTTTTTACTAAAAAAAAACAACCCACAATCGCCTTTAAATGGTGTGTTTTTTGTGAATCGTTTAAAATTTTCTTGGGGAAATTATTCTGCGTGATGCAACGCATCCCCAAAGTTGTAAGAAATTTACAAATTTTGCATGTCGGCAAGATCAATCCATTTATATATTGTGTACATATGTAGCGTTTATAAAAGTGGCTCAGTGTTTGTATTTTAAATTAAGAACACAAAGTGAATGTTCTTCATCGTAAAGGAACTGACTAATCACAAATTATATTAAATTCCCTTTTTAAAATCCATCGATTGACCCATATACTATATAGTCTCCACTAGTAAGTGCATAATATTGGTGTCTATTTCTGTCCATCGTCAAACTCGCATTTCGTACGAGTTATTTCGACAAAACAAATATCATAATTCACTGAAATTTTCGAAGTTTTCTGTCCTTTTCTGTCGCCCGTCTTTTGGGCTTAACGTTTACACAACACGGCCATGCATGGGTGCCTTAAAACAGCAATATTGCCATCAGCGTCGTGAATTTCAAAGCAGTTACTTATTACCTTATTACTGTATTAAATACATGTAGATGAAATTGGCAACTATCCGTCTGTGTTAAATGTTAGGCCAATGGAACTGTAGATTCTGTTTACCGTCCGAGAATTTAAGAAATCTGATGCGGGTTTTTTTCATTATTCATTTTTCATTATTTTTGTTATTATCTATTTTCCGACCAAAAATGATCCTTAAATCGTTTTCTTTTGATCTCGACCATCAACACTTTTGTCCAGCATTCTTTTATCATTTTTGGGGTTTCCTTTGCTGAAAATTTCTTTGTCACGTCATTGTTTTC